GAATAGTTTGAATTCATAAAAATTGGTTCCATCTGTGAGCTTGGTTGCTAAAATGGTCATGCCAACCTATATAGTAGCATTATATATTATTACAAACATTTTGGCTATTAAGCTACGTATATTTATAGTTTAGAAAAGTATTGAGGCCCAGTTTGAAAAGTATAATTTGATGAAAACATCCTGGTATAAAATATTGTTCTAACGAAAATAAATTCATTTGTGGCTTTGTCATTTAGGCAATATGTGTTTGAGACAAAAAAATTACGTGGGACTCATTTGACATAGGAGTTGGAATTATCAGTAGATCTGCTAGCTTTTTTCAGTGCCAAAAAATAATGTCCTTAAACTGAAATCTAACATCCCCTTATTACACTCAGCTCAAAGTCTTTGAATTGTTTTAAATTTTTTTAATGTACACCCATTCAAAGCCAGTATAATTGCATTGGTTGCTTCCCGAGGGCCTTTAGAAAAAGCCTTTAGACCCAGCCTTTAACACTCTACTGGTATAGTATTCCATGAATCTCTCACAGCAACCAGAAACATTTTTGGTTATCTGGATTGAAATTCAAAGATTTCCTTTTTTCAATAATGCTGTTGTCATACAGGTCATTTTAAAATTTGGGGCCAAAAAATGTTCTCATAACATGCCTTCTTGCAATAAAATGAGTGAGGAGTGACGACGTACATGGCCAAGTCATTTACCCATAAAATTTTGTGATTTCTCTTTTAAAAAAGACATCAGTATTATTATACCAAAAAAAGACAACATTTTAATGAGACATGTCACTTACACTTTGAATTCATTCTAGCCCACACAGCAAAAGATGAGAAAATTGATTTTTTTTCTCTGCAATTTTTCCGGTTGTATTCTTAAAGCCTGCAAATTTTACATGATAGTTAATTTTGGAGTGCTTTCAAATTTATACAAATCTTTCATACCCTTCATTAAAAGGATGAATCAACATAACTTGAGATGCTTTTAGACAAAAATCAAATTACATCTGGTATTGTAGATGGTATGTATAGAATATTAATGATAATTTCATATCAGCACATTGGTTGAGATTAAAAGGAATGTGGCATTTAGCATTTTAAGGTATTTACATGTTTAAGCATATGTCCTAGTACAAAAAAATAAGAAATAGAAGACAGTGCTTGTAGTTAATTGTTTGCACATATTTCATTCATTTTGTGGTCAAAATGTTATAATTTCTTTGAAGACCACTATTTATGGAAACTTGATATAACCCACCAACAATGTATTATGATGCCAACTTTTTTACAACTTCCCCAAGATTAATGCATTTGTGTTGAATATATGGGTGAATGTAATTTATGAATATTTTGCTATATAGCAGTTTTTACCTCAGCAGCCATAGGTTACCCTCACATGAGACTCCACTAAGGTTTAGCTCACTCCACTTCTTAATTTTGTCAACAGTCTTAACAAGCAAATGTGGTAATGAAAGCAATCTGGCAAGTACTAAATTTAAGCAGAATTGATTGTTTATTTGCAAACAATGTCTATATGGCAAGTTCTGTTCACACCATAAAGAATGCTTTATAAGGTACTAAAATTGATGAATTCTTAACTAAAGATACTTAAACAAGATTGAAGTATGGCAATTAAATATCTTTGGGACAAACAAATTTATTATTTGTCCATGGTATGCATACACCTGCTGTATTGCAATGAAGACATTTCTGATGAAATTTTAGTTTGATTCAGAGCCCAACTTGTGGAGCCTTGTGTGATAGGAGCCATCGAGACAAATCTCAGCCAATCTGTGAATTTCCAGTTTTCTAGTTGTGTTGCTTGTTTTAAAATGTAGTCTATGCTAGTGTCATTGGCACAAGGTGATTCTAAGTCAGTAAGACTGTGCAATTATTTAAAAACTTTGTGAACTTTCTCTTAATATTTGAATGTTATTAGGTGATATATAATTTATTGCAGAATTATTTTGAGATCATTTAGTTTGAAGTTATTTATTTTCCAAACTAATCAAAATTAGACCTCGAAAGTTTTTTCCTTACTGAGTTTATTTAAAAAAAAAAGAGTTAAATTTCTAGGTCAAATTTTAATTAGATTGCATGTTTTTCTGTATGTGTGATGTTTGTAAAAGTATTTTAAAGCATTTCAGAACTTAGCCTAGTTGCTTTTTGAAAAATTAAATATTGAATAATATCAAATGAACACAAGCATGCGCTACTTAATGTGAATATTGAAGTTGCAGTTTTATGCATTTTATATTTCACTGCTGTAGTTCTGTCAAGTTACCTCAAGGTTTACATGACTGTGAATATCCTTACTAGAAAATGTGACAGCATTGGTCATTTTTATTTATTTATTTTCAGTAGACAAATCATTCTACTAAGAAAACTTTCCAATATGTTTTAGAACTAAAGTTGAAAATCATTCTTTTTAAAACAAGAAATTTATCAGTCATGGAATAATGCTAACTGGCAGGTTAAGACTTTTCTGCCCTTTAACTCAAAAAGTTTCAGTTTTGTCATTTTACAGATGTTGAAATGTGTTTGCTAGCTACCCTTAAGGAAAATACTTAAAGGGATAATAACTCTTCGTATGAAATCTGTATTTCACAATAAAAACTTTGTGAATGACTCATAAAAATATAATATATTCTGTTTTCCCACAAAAACGGCTGTTATAGCTATTATTCTGATATCTGAGCTTGTCTTTAGACCACGTGACCTCCATTGATGGCTATACTTTGTTAAAATCTCTTAAGAGATTTTAACAAAAAACCAAACTTTTTAGAAAAAAACCAGGGACTAACTTTGAATGTAAAAATGGATTCGTTAACCATTGGTAAGTATGGGAAAATTGTTGTTTACTCCAGGAAAATTCATTTTTTGGCCAAAACGAAGAGTTATTATCACTTTAAGACAAATAGTGACAGTTTTTCAGTGGATATCTCGCAATGCTGCATTTTCTTACAGAATATGTCACAGCATCTTGATTCTGGTATTATACATAAGCAAGCTTGTAGGTACAGGGTAATCATTTGCTTTTAGGCTTTTTATGCATTGTTAACTCTTGCTTGAAGAGGGAAATAAAAATATTTTAAAGAAATGTTTGGTTAGTTTATAAATGCCTTTATCTTTTCAAAGTTTCCAGTGTCATAATTGTCCCAAGTATTTTCAAATTGCTGTCATACATTTGAAGTACATGTAAATTTTAAAATAGTAATAATAAACAGGAAAATTACATTCTTGGGTGGGGAAAAAAAAATATTAACAATGCATAATAAATTTTCACCATATAAACTTGAATTGGATGTCGATACCATAATAATGTAAAGTATCTTAAATCGTCCATAGAAAAACTAGATGACATTTATCAATAGATTTTTAACCATCTCGCCACATATGTATTTCTCAAAAAATAAATTCTTCGTAATTTGGTGACCAGTGCAAATGGGGTTTAAGCCTTGAACCCAAGAGATGATATCAAAAGCACATGAAGAAGCCTCTTTTCAATTATAAAGAAAGAAACTGGGTTGTCCGACTCAGCACTTTTCAAATTGAGCTGGTTGCTATGTAGCCGGTTCATTCTCTGTGGGGGCAAGGGCTTGAGGTACATTTTCACCTGCAGGCCCCGAGAAGTGAAACCTGAAACAAAGCATTCAACATTTATATGTGACTTCGAACCTTCAAACAGACAAGTTCTTACACTGGAGGAAGGAATGAATCTTAACTACAGGGATGTTTCTTTTTTTTTTTCAGTAGTCTCATATTACCACCCTGAGCTTCAGAGCTAACTTGACACTAACCTCTTCACTGTAGCCTATCTTCATCGTGTCAAGTAACCTCTGACCAGATTCGATTGCCTCCGCCGCCCGCCAATCAAATTTAAAAGCCCGCACTCAATGACTCATTAAACGATCTAGCCAATGAACGCGAACGAGTCAAAGCGCGCTTTGTTCAAATCCGGACCAATCAAAGATAAGGCTGAATATCAGGGACTTGCCGTAACCTGTGAGCAGCAAGCAAATTACATCGTCTCTCAGTAGATAATGATGCAGGGCCTCAAACTGCTAGATCCTATGGTTTCAATTCCGATTTACTCATATTTTGCAAAGAATCAAGAGATAACTTAACACATTCTTTTTCGTAGTCACTCGCCTTGCTTTCTTTGTGTACGGTAATACACTCGGAACTACTCGGATGTCTCCGCACTCGACAATAACTATGTTGTTAGTATGGAGCTTGCGGAATCAGCCGAGGATTGCCGATTGACGGTCAACCAATCAGCGTTTTCACCAAACTTTGGTGAAAAATTTTGAAACATGGATTTGATTGGCTTATATAAACTAGGTCAAACTATTTTCGTCAGAGGTTACTTGACACGATG